GTACGTATTTACTAGATGACAAAAGAAACAATGAATTTCCAAGATAATTTAAGATTATTGTTTAGTTTGATTTATATACTCGCTGGCCCTTTCGCTGTATAATTTACTCGCCTCAGAAGTTTCAAAAGTGCCGAAAACTCTTTAATGTTTGGCAATAACCACGACGATGACCATTCATGAAGCCCGCACAGGAAGTAATTAAAAAAAAACACCGACAGGTTCAACTTTATGGCGTCATTTCAATAATCTTATGGCGCCGATAACTGACCGCCCATTTGTCAAACTTCGGACAGACAAATTGGCGAAGCTGTGTTAATTTTGTATTTAATTAGAGAGAGGTTTGGCGAACAATTTTTGTTTTTTTTTTTATTTTATCCTAATATATATGGTAAAATAATGGTTATTTTTCTTGTATAAGATTTATTCGTAAATAAAGAAACTGAACTCTGTTTATCTATGTCTTACACTGTAAGTTTCAGTAGGTGTCTACTGTTATATTTGGTTCATAATTTCATAAATATTATTCTTTAAAATTATTCAGAAGGTAAGACAAAATTAAGTATTGTCTGTAGTTTATGCCTACACATATCTATGGTTTAAAATGCAAAATTTGTAAGATAACTTATTTTTAATTTAATTTACTACGGCTTAACTTTGCAACGTTTCGGAACGCTTTGCAGCAGTGGTACCCTAAAAATAAGTTAAACAATACATTTTATTATCTAGTAAAGAAAAGTATTGAAAGAAAAATTAAATATCACTTATCAAACGAAGAGTCATCGAGGCTGTTAGCTGAGCTGCAAGGGCGCATTTCCGATACGTTTCCAAAATGTGTAGCCTCCGAGTCACGATTCCGTAATTTGTGCCTCACAATAACGTAATGACGGGTCTAGCGAGGAGGCGCCAACGCGCGGCTTTCGGTTAACTCAAATTGTATGTAATTTGCCGAAACCTCAGACAGACAAACGAACAATTAGATACCCATTTACAGGTAGACCGGAATCAATAAAGGTTTGGGGAAATAATGACCTATTCTAGTTGGTAGTAGGAAAGAATGTAGGTACCTTAGAGTAACGAACAGACAGTGTAAAAATCTTATTTTTTAGCGCTTTTAATGTATGTACATATATTGTATCATTTGGGCGAGTTTTGACGGGAATTGTAATGTCTACTGCATTTGATTTTAATTTCCGCTATTTCACTAATTTTCCACTAAGTACTTTAACTTAAAATCTGAACAGCATTGTACAGAGGCAAGTATTGTATATATATTCTTAATTTTATATGTATCTTATCAACCACCATTGAAAGATAATGTTATGGTAATGTAACAAACGCTTTCAGTAACATACCTAATATCTTTGGGTACAGAGGAAAGGTACCTATCGTGTTAGACTATAATAAATATTTTTAACTTCAGCCAGACACGATCTTATAAAAGTATATAAGCATTTAATACGTAATGATTTCTGTCATCGCTTCAACACTACCTCCGAGAATGCCAAGACGCTGATTTAAGAACCAAGAAGACTAGAAATATGGAAAAATAAACACTAGTATCTATTGCCATAACCATTGTTTTATTTAATACAAATCGGGATTTTCGCATATTTCTATCGCAAGTCGACGAATTGCATTTGACAAGCGGATATGAATGCATTCAATTCAAATGCAGTTCAAGACACGGCAGCCATCTTGTTCGGTAGGCGTGGCTCTAAGCTCCGCCCACGCGTAACTTACAACTTCAACAAACCCGTTTAATTATAGTTGTTAATTCTAAAACATTACGTTGTTAACAATAATTAGGAGTAAACAATGCGTTTTTACAGGTAATTAATATTAAAGACAACATACGGTTTGACATAAATTAACTTTTATTTTTGTATTGTTTCTATCTATCTAAATAAAGTGATAAGGTTTCGAGAAGACGAACAATTTCTGAAACTTTCCTGAGGTATTTTAATAAAATATACCTCATTCTCGTTCTGTTCATTTGTCAAATCTGTTTAAGAGTAAAGCAAAGTTTATGGTGAGCTATAAGATTATGCAAAAAAAAACTAAAGGATTTTCCATAGCAAGCTAGGTACCCAGTTTATTATTTTACGGGAAAACAAAGTCAAGTATTAAAAGGGTGGGTATAGTAATCTAGTACTCTATTTTTGTTATAACCACTAACCACTGAATCAAGACGGCTGGTTTTTGTTTGTAATCGAATCCAGGTGATAGAAATTCGGCGTATCCCGGCGGCACAGTTCGGCGTCACTGTCGTCATGTCGGCAATAATTCAAGTCGGCGTCGGCGAGATCAAACGGGCCGACAGACGGCTGAAACGGCTCGATCCTCAGTTAGCTTAGTGTAAACAGACCGCACATCAAAGGCGCCGCCCGGGGGCCTATTACGCGCTGATTCGATACAAATTTCGCGTGATTTTTTATCTAGCGCGACCCCAGTACGGGTCTAGACTCTAGAAGATAATATAATTGTGTCTTAAGCATCGGTCGATGATTGCGTCGTTTAGATAGCTACTTTCTTTGCTTTCACGGACCACAGTCCTTTTCGTATTGTACTAAAAGCATTGGTACCTACCAAATTGGAAACTACCAAAAAACCCATCGCAAAGTTTTTATAATTATAAAAAGAATCATTACTCTTATTCGGTGATTTACTTAGTAGTATGTTGTATTACTTATGTATTGAATTAAATCGCAATATCGATTTAGATTTTGTTTCTTAAAGGAAGGATGAAGTCTATCTATCTAACCACAAATACTGCTGTCCCCGAATACTTAAATAAATAGTGTTATTTTCAACCATATTTTAAGTCAGCAGGCGCCATTTAGTTTTGTTGGAGTTTATTTATTTCTAAAACCAACGAAAACTATCAATTATGAGGCGCCTGCGCCGGTGCCGCAAAGGCTTTTTCAAGTTTATGTTCCTAATGATGCCGTATTTCGATTTAAGGAAGATTACACATCAACGCTTAATTGTTAAATTTATTTTCATATAAGAAAACAGAAAATTTAATTTCAATGGCATTTATTGAAATAAAACTCTTTAACGCTGTAAACCACGAGATATACCTATTAGTTTAACTTGTTTTTTAACTACGAACCAATGTTTCGAATGACCTGTGACCCTTTTTAAGCGTTGAAAGTGTTTACTACTTAATTTACAAATTGAGCTACCGAGTCAATTGGTAGAGCAACAGCACGGAACGCTGACGATGCCGGTTCAAGTCCTGCCCGAGTCGATTTTTTTTTCATTTATTTTCGATTTTAAATTATATATTGCCTTCATGTGCAAAAATATTAAAGTTTTCAAGTGTAATACTACTATTTATTATTTTATTTACTTATTAGCTAAAGACAAATAAACGCACAAATAATAAAGGTCTTATAAGTAAGTATTAGGCCAATTCGTAACAAATATTAGGTTAAATACCCATCGTCGTTCAAGTCATTTAACTAAAACGAAAATGTAGTCTGTAGTTTACGCGAGTAGTGCACATTTAAATAAAATTCTTTAACGGTTTAAAACGCTATATTATATATATTTTAGTTAAACTTGTTTGAAAATTATTTTTAACTACGGCCCGACGTTTCGTTCAAACAAGTTTAACTAATATATATCTCATTTTAAACCGTTAAAGTGATTTATTTAAATGAAAATGTCAATCACTAATATAATAATTACATTTCGACATCAACAACATTTTGATTAGGAACCTTCGTGTGTAACAGACCTAAACGTTACGCCCAGTCATTGGACGAAGGACGCGATGTTCCGGTTTTTTTAGTATCTCCTTCTTTAATACAAAATTATGAAATGATTTACAAGCGCCGCTCTGTGTTTTCATTCTCTGAGTAATGATACGGTTCTAATTCGCTTTTTTTTTCTTAATAAGGCTTAATAGGTTATTGCAAAAAGCACTGTTGTAGACTCTTTTGATATCTCGATATGTTGATAGAAGCGAGATAATTGTCTTCCTGAATGGCTGAGCATTAATTGCGTCATCTGTCCGGTGACCACGTTTCGTGTACTGCGTGTAATGTCTTGCGATCACGCGATTGTTATTAACTATCGGAAACATCACTATTTATTGATTTAACCTTCATTTCAAGCGGGGGTTAGGCATAATTGATGGATATATTAAAAACAAGTTTGTAATCGAAGGAAGCTTTATATAAATCAATATTAAATATGTATGCAGTGACAGGTAAATTAAAAACCTTTCTTTGAAAAAAAAAATATATTAAGTGAAAGGCCTGTTCTACGATTGAATTAAATTTTTAAAAGCCATTGTGTAATGGCTAACGTAGCTAACGGTAGTGTTTTGGTTAAAATCATTTTTTGCATATAAAAGTGAAATTCGATTAGTGGGAGCGGAATCCGTAAAGTATTTAAAAAATGCATTAAAAATAATAAGTATTTTCCGTCTTTCGGCCCTTTTTTGTAACCGAGAACCCCAAAACTGTCATCCCTAAAAGTTTACATAAGCTACTCATATGAATTGTGATATTTTCTAATGTCAAAATCAGTGAATCCGCCGATTTGCAACAAAGAAGTAAGATGGAATACGTTTTTCAAAACGTCGAAACGAGTCAGAGATCAAACGTGTCAAGCAATTGATCTGGCGAGCTCTGGGAGAGAGTTATTGATAAAACTCGTGTTAAATCGAAGCCAGACGCAATGATTTAACAAATCACTCAAACTAGCGAGCCGTGACAGGAGCTAATGGTTAGCTGGCGGGCAACGGTTCGAAATACAGCTAGTATTTATCGGCGCTATACTTTATAGCATCAAAACGCCTAAAAAAACCAATAGTTCTAGGTAAGTCAACTTTTTTAAGACTTGATTTGTTGGTGTTGTCCATAGGTAATACTTACAATAATCAGCAATAGTGAAATTTTGCAATCGGCCAAGATAAAGCAATGGTTTTCATTAACGTCTTATCAACATGCTTCGGATAAAAATATATTTCAAACCTGCATACACAATAATTACGTTGCCCTTCTATCGCATAGCAACCGCTTTGGCCGGCACATCTTTCTTACCGGAGCCTGACCAACTGGAACACATCAAGCGTCGAACGCAATAAAAACAAAAATATCGGTCCGAGATCAAAGTTGGTGCAATTAGGTGGTAACCGGAGACGGCATCAAAGCGCCGACGTCACTCACTCGAACCGCTCGCTGCAACCCTTTTACGATGGCTTGTTTGATGCGTGTCATGCCACCCGCGCGGCCGCTCATAATATTTTCGACACCTAATTGGAACTAGAGGCCGCGGTGGGGTCAGCCGGTCCATCCCTGGAGGTGCGACAGTACAGTTCGGCATTTTTGTAGCACTAAGGCTAAGCGTCCACAAAATTTAGATAAGCGGAGAATATTGTTTTCTGCTACGGTTTTCGAATTGTAACGTACATGAAGGGAGGGAAATTCATAATTCAGTAATAATATCATATTAACGACAATACGATAAAAAAACTTTACTTATTATTTGCTTCATATAAATATTGTAAACTAATTGATGGGATGCAAATTTAAATAAAACACTTTAACGGTTTAAAACGCGATATATTAGTTAAACTTATTTGAAAACTTCGGCCCGACGTTTCGGATGCTTTGCAGCAGCCGTGGTCACGGGGAGACTGTGTGATTCTATTTAAATGTTTTCTATTTTTTTATTTAAATGTGTACTACTCGCGTAAACTATAGACAGTGTGGAATGCAGATACTCGTATGTCTTTGCGGGTAATATTTTATAAACCTTTTATTTCGAGTCGTAGAATATGTACACAGTATTAGATATTTTCTACTCCAAAGCAAAATTACTTATTTCAACATGATAATGAAACACCTCAACTGCGGTTAGACTGTCCAATGGGTAAATGAGCTAATTGGCAGCCCTGACTATATCTTAATTGCAAAGTGACGGAGACACGTCGACTCTGAACTAATGAAGCTCTCACAATTTAATTAGAAGCAACGTTGAGACAGATTGCGTCTCGTCACCTTTACACGAGTGCATATCAAAAGTGAGAATTAGTAAGTATATAATATGTCTTGAGGTGTTTTTACATATGAACATCAATGTGCATTTGAACCGTCTAAAAATACATTTTAAATAGAACAGACAAGTTATTCAAAACTCCAATTTAAAAAATTGGATTGAAGGAGACGGCTTATTTTAAATTTAACACTTTTAACGGTTTAAAACGTGAAATATATAAGTTATTTTTAATTCATACGCTCACTATCCGAACTCGTCGGAATTCCCGCCTGCTTCATCTCTTCTACCGTGTCCCTTCCGATCCCAAAACTCCTTACTTATAAGAGAAATTCTCACCAGTAAATCTCCGATCTATCGATAATCGCCTCTTATTTATTCCTAAGTATAAAATCTCTTTCTTCAATGATTCTGTGACCGTTAAAAAAATGATCGTAAATGATACACCTACCCGTTTAAGATATGTTTTACATACAATATAAATACATAGTTAGTCTGCGCGCGAGTATGTCGGCAAGAAGTCTGTGAGGCGGTATGTCATACCGGCAGCTTCTTTTGTGCCATTACCGGCTCATAACTGCTGCGAAAGAATGCTGGGAATGTTAGGCTTAGCTGGTATCAGCTTGGGCGTGCAGTCGCGTATGGTTTTTGTATATTAAGTATCCAAGTTTATGTATAAAAAATACTTATACCAAGCCCGAAATACTTTACTACTACCACAAGAATATTCAAATGACAAAAACCTAAATTTAATTTCTTCCCGTGAAACTTGTATTGCAATATGTGCGAAAGGTTCTGAATGAGATTATTTGTCTTTTCCTAGCCAGTTATGGTTTGATTCGGAGTTCAAGAGTCAATAGGTATATAATCATATTAGAAGACGTACATTCAGATTTTTAAATAAAAAATTAAAACAAAAAACTTTTACTTAGTTTTTCGAAAGCTAAAAGTGGTAAAAACAAAAATTTATAAGGCTAAAGGCATCGATAAAGGCTTTCGTTATTTCCAATTGTAATGCTTCATAGAATATGGCGTTCTTTAAATACATATCTATCATTAAATGTAATAAAACGCGCAACAGTCACCGCAATGATTCAAAGCATTTTAATAGTGCAAGAATTTGCGTTAGTTATCTTGACATTTTAACGTCAGTTGGAGATTACGAATGTTGATCATAATTTTCTAAAATTAATTACAATAATGGTTTTTTGCAATTTTCAAAAGTGACGTACGTTAATTTGAATAGCGTTTAAAACACTTTGGTACATTTTTGTAGTACGCGTATATAAGCTCTGTTATTTTTATCATATGGCTAAAAACATATTTTCCAACGTGGAAGCGAAAAAACCGCATTCTTATCGCGAGCTGTATATTTTCATTGGCGTAATATAAAAATAATAATCGTTAACTTCGGATAATTCAATTCTAATTGTAATGGCATGCCTTAAACCAACATTTTTATCGTGTCAGCCATTTATATCGAATTATGTACATTTCATAAAGCGTATAAGGCGATACTATGTTATTTAAACTTAATTACGTTGGAGGTATCGGTTCGAGCACAAGCGGAGCGAATTCATTGATATATACTAGTGTAATTTGCAACTGAAATGTAATTAAATACTGTCTATAGTTTAAACACATTTAAATAAAACATTTTAACGGTTTAAAACGAGATATATTAGTTAAATTTATTTGAAAATTAACACTTAACACTAATTTATCGCGTCTAAACCGTTAAAGTGTTTTATTTCAATGAAATCTAATTATAAATTTAAAAAAATACGACTTGAACCGGCATCCACAACGTTCCGTGCTGGTGTTCTCGGCAGCTCAATTGGTCAAAGTCACCATGTGAGTCAGAGTGCCATCATGTCCAATAAAATGTGAATAATATTAAAGTTTGCAATAATATATTCTCTTATTTCAATATGAATTAAGGTGTTTTTATGAACATATTTTTGCAACTTGTATCTGTATTTTGCTGAATAACAAAAGTAAATCGGTATTGCTACAAAATTCAATTTGGTTTATGTTTTATGAACTCAAATGAGACTGATTTAGTTCCCGCTTCTCGCTCCGCTCTTGTATGGAGGCGCGGTCACATTTCCCGACCGCCTGCAAAAACTTCAATTATTTTAATGATAAGCAATTTAGCGATACACGTTTAATGAATTCTTTCACGCAGAATCGTTTACTAGAATATTTGAGGCAGGTGAGTTGATTTCCCAGGACAAGAATTTTGATTGATTTTCTTTGAGAGATTGCACGGTAATCGTTAATATCAATAAATATTGACTTCTTTTTAATTATTTTGTTGCACTGTCTTTACATCCATTAATATATATTTGCGAGTAAATTCGGATAAAAAAACGTATTTGTTACTTAACAAAACAGTGTTAAAACGTTGCCTCATAACCTAAGGCGTGGTTGGGTGGCGCAGACTTTCACGTATTTACTATAAGACGGTGTATCGCATTATTCACGCATTTCTAAGTCATATGGGTTCAAATGCGTCGTATGTTGTAAGTACATGGCATGTAACATCTCTAATTTGAGTTGGAAGTTTTTGGCTCGTTGTCCTAATGGTAGCGTAAAGCTTACAATAACAACTTTTTGTTTAATTAGAGCCGATATTTAATTTTATCAACAGGTCTTGGGTTCGAATGCCACGCTTCCAATATTCCTAAATCTCCCTTAAACCACCGTCGCAGATGTGAAGCCGTTAAATGTATCGGCTCCAGTCAGTGAATTTTTAAACGTCAAAAAGTTAAAGTAGTCGTAATAATAGTGAGAGGGCGCAAAGTTTTTATCGATGTGTCCATTAATAATAAGGAGAATCATGTATTCCTTGTACTTTACACCTGTAGCTCTAGCGAACTACGAACGCTGACGAAGCCGGTTCAAGTCCTGCCCGAGTCGAAAATTATTTCAATATATTTTCGGTTTTTAAACGTGTAGCTCATTTAAATAAAACAAAATATCAGTTTAGAATACAGCAGCCATGTCTTTCCGTGACCACGGCTGCTGCGAAAAGAGACAGAATCCTTAATGCCGTCGTTTAAATACAATAAACTTATGTAATAACTAATAGTAACGGAATCGATTAACCGAAACTATTGGATCTATCGGAAAATCCTCGTACGATACAAATGCAACATTCGTTCGCTACATGTAGCTGCTATATCATGTCCGTTTGCTTATAATTAATTTCTAGGTTGACAATTTAATAACACTTGCGAGGTAATTCATACCTGCGTAAGAGGTACTAATATCTCGCAAACCAAATACATAATGTATGGGGAGAATTACGATATCCAAGCTATTAACTTGTGTCGGAGCAGTCACTCATAAATCTCACAGTTGACGCCATAAATTGTGTGAGAATTGTGCAAAAACTACTGATTCCTGATAAGCCTAATGGGGACACACAGTCATAGAGAACATCGTGACTTGATATTTATCAATGCAAAAAAAATAATTGCATAATATATACATTCTCATTACAAAATTTTAATTTTTACTGACATGCATTTTATTTTAAATAATATTCATTTTCTTTCATTAAAGAAAAAAACTATCAAATTTCAAAATATCTTATGTTGAAAAAATTGCTAATCGTATACTGTCTATAGTTTACGCGAGTAGTACACATTTAAATAAAACACGTCGGGCCGAAGTTAAAAATCATTTCCAAATAAGTTTAACTAATATATCGCGTTTTAAACCGTTAAAGTGTTTTATTTAAATTGCTAATCGTACACAAATATAAATGAGTGTTACAGAAATAATTCATTATTAATAAACATTTGTTAATAAGAATGTGATTTTCTTATATATTTCATTTTATTTTCTTTATCTAAATATAATTCCCATCTTCAAAACAGACGGATTTTTTTATTTTAGTTTCCATAGTTTGATCAAATAAAAAGTCGAAGTTTGTACAAAGCAGCGAGTGCAAGGCGATATGTCTCGAAGGGAAAATCGCAGAGATTAGAGCAAAACACATCGACGCTAAGCCCCCGTTCACCTCAACGACACATCGATTTATTATCGACTCGATAAAATTATAATCGTTATTTATGACTCGACAACTCGTGTTCTGCATTATTCATGCCGTGTCTGACGATATTTACAGTGTATTCGAGACAAGTCCGCGACACTTTAATCGTAATACATTATTTCGTTGTCGACTGCACTGGGCTACTTTTGTCAAAATCTTAATGTTTGTAACTATTGACGTATGATTTCGTTATGTACATAAACCTAACCTAACCCTTTATTATTAACTAGCGGCTCTGTCCCTGCTTCGCACGGGTAGACATAAA